ATTGTATTAATATTGGATCTTATAGGAGGCGGAATGTGATTTTTATGTTATTTTATTAATTATTATGAAATATTTTCTCTCGTAATTTTTATAAACTACCTATTTTTGTTGTGAAATGTTTCTATAGCCCTGTTAATGTTATACGTTTAAACTGTTTGCTAAGCTGAGGTATATAACCGGCTTATGTTGTTTTCAATATAAATGTATAACTATTAATTGTCGTTTGGTTTGTATGCGTTTAGTGTCAATCTTTTGAAGTTTTGTTCTGCAATAATAACAAAATAAAAATAATAATAAAAATAAAATAAAAATAAAAATGTTGTATTCTATAAAACGGAAAAAAAGTCCCTAAAAAGAATAATAGTATTTAAAAAATATAAGAAAGAGATCTTTTATATTATCTGAATAAAATAATAAATACATTTTTATACATTTTTTAAATACTATTATTATAAGATAATTTTTTTTAATTTTTAATTTACGATGGGTAAACCACATCTGAATAAATACATTTTTATATTTTTTAGGGACTTTTTTTCCTAATATCCTAAAAAACAGCAATGACCAAAAACAAATAACTGTAGGTACGTAAAAATTTCACTGAATGCTTATATTTTCATTGTGTATAGCATCATAATATTTTGAAAATATTTTTGACTTTTTGAGCTTTTTACGGACATTATCAGTTTTCAATTTTTTTAGTTTTTTTTTTCCATAATTGTCAATAAAATTGTATTTGTTGGGTTAAAATGGGTGAAAATTTAATATAAGGCTCCTGATATATTGTTGCAATAGCAGTTGAAAAATATTAAAAATACATAAATATTAAAAAAGGCATAATTTTTTTTATAAGTATTTTAAGTTCGAATTTTGATAAAAATTTAAAAATAATTTTGTGGTTAAAAATTTATAAAATGTTCAACTTTTGTATCTAAGGATTGAAAATTTAAAACAAGGTTCCACGTAAATACTAAATAGGTTATAAAATATAAATTACTTTATTCACAATAATATCATCAAATATACTTAGTAAAATCATAGGCTCACTGACCGTCTTCGCTCAGAATCGTTTTTCTTATATAAATATATTATATCATTGAATTCAAATTTAACACCATCCATTACAGTAACCCACTTGTAACCTACTGTACAACAGAACGACACTCACTTGCCCACCTTTTTTTTTTTTTTGTAACATTAAAGTAAAAGCGAATTTGGAAAAAAAAAATATTAATTTGGTTGTATACTAATTAAACAATACACAAAATCGAAAATCCATTTCCTACATAACCAGAAAAGATAATAAGGAATTCAAATATATTTTCAAAATTAAAATCTGGCATTAAGTACTGGGTGAATTTTTTCTTCTGCTTTTTGGGACTTTCATGGCCACATGGGACTTTTTGATTGTTTTCTGATCGCAAAGTATAGTTACTGCACTTATGTACATTGGATGTAACAGATTTTTAAGAACCTTAGCTGTAGCTTACATTTAATGACATAAAGCGTTCGGGGAACTCACGTACTATAATGAAAATATTGTGAAAATATACGATCCCTTAAAAATGGTTCACTTTCAAGTTTCAACAACCTTATAAATATAAATAAATATATAGAACCAACATTTTCTTAAAACATTAGTGCTAATACTTAATACTCTTTTGAACTTGTTTACTTTGCTTTCATCTACATGTATGTTATTAATTTATAAAATATGTCTAACAATATTATAAAGTTCTATGTTTTGAGTAGGTAGGTACCTAAAATATTTTTGTCCTCATCGTAATTTTCGTTTACAAACATATATTTTTATGTTTAATTATAGGCGCCGAAGTAATCTGAAACACTTAAACAAAACAACAAATATTATCATTTAATATGTATAAAATAATATATATATAGAATTATAGAGCTAATTTAACCTTTAAAGTAGTTAACTTTTAAATTATCTATACATATTACCTAACCTATAAAAAAACACACATGTCATAGGTAAAGCTAATTTTTGGCGCCTTTATTACAATTTATTATGAATCCATTCAAGTATATTTTATTACCATTATTTAAATGTTTAAACTTAGGAAAGGTTATAATTTATGTTTATTATTTAATGTATTTATAAAAGATTAAATCAATCTATAAACGTACCTAGTATTATACAGTAAAATTATGATTAGAAAATGAAAATAAAACGATAGATCTATAATTTTTTTTTTCCTATTTTATAAAAATCTAATGGAAACCTATCCCATTATTTCTGACCTATAATATTCTTTATTCTATTTTACACTTAAAAAAAATTATTACAATTTTTATATTTTTAGGAGTTCGGGGGGATATTTTCCTTTTAGCATTACTAGCGCCGTCTTAGTGGATACTTATGGAACTAGATCACATTATTGTCATCTAGTTCCAAAAGCATCCACTAAGACGTCGCTAGTAATGCTAAAAGGAAAATATCCCCCCGAACACTGCCTGTTGTAAAACATTTCGTAGTCAACCCCCCACACCCTCCTACCTTGTCGTGTCCAGTCCTGTATATCTTAGTCCGTGGTATAAAGTATAAACCCATCATAACGTGTGTGGTGTGTGTTGTCTTTATAGGGTTTCTCGTATTTGTTTCTGTTTGGTTTTTTAGATTTTAAAATTCCCCTAATATTTAGTCGATCCCCGCCTTATACAAAACATTTAAAAATGTTAAAAATGTAAACATATAAAGTTTTACTAACCTTAATACCTTAATCCTCATATTTACATAAATAAATAATAATACTGTTTTATATCGCTTATTTTTTACCTAATCATTCTATATCTCAGGAAAAATATATAATATATTTTGTTTTGAAACCCTGAACTACATTTACACTGTGTATTTTAATTATTAATACCCTTCGTACCCTCATTTTATATCTCCGTCTTACTTATGCATGAATGCATAATAATTTTACTTAAAAAAGTATTAAAAATCAAAAGTTGATTCTGGTTTAACATATTACGGGAAGGAGATAAAAATATTGGTAATTTGTTAACTTGACGGTAACACATTAAAGAAAATATACAAATACTTTCCAAGATATAGACTGATTTACATAAAAAAAATCACAATGTATGTGTTATAAAACAATCAATCTGTTTCCAATTTATTAAAACATTTAATTTGTCATCCGTCTTGATTTAAAAAGAATTAACCATTATAGTTGTAATGGCGTAGTAATCAATGTTTTATATTTTTAGCCAGTGATAAACCGGATTTGGGCTTAGAAGAATTGAGCTCTTTAAACGTGAAATCCCGTTTTCAAGCTTTTGAAAACGCCACCACCAATGGTAATAGCCACATGGAAAAATCTCCAGTCAGTGTTAAACGTTCACCAAGTATATTGAGTAAATTAGCTAAGTATGTGTTTTTTATTTAGCTCTAAGAGGACACTTCATCCTCATTTGATGTCTTTGAATCAATGTAGGTATTATGAAACTTAATGGTAAGAAAATTATCTGCATTCGTTGGTCAGTATTTTACAATAATTCAATTTTTAAACGATAATCATTTTAAAATGGTGCTATTTTATGTACGAAAAACTCTAAAAAATTGAACTATCATAAACCTGAGTTACGAACACAACTAATGTTCTTAGTTCTTACCATAAGTTTCACATTAAGTCGATCTATTCTAATTTTTGAAATTATGGGGTTGATTGTACATTTGTTATGTTACGCACTTGTAAGACAACAAATGTGGGTGTAGCGTTTTTCTTAACTAACAACAGATTTGTCTCTCATATACTTATCAAAAACAATTATATTTGTTCAAATAGATTTCAGTCGAAAGGAATGGATGTAGGAGTTGCCAATGATGATTTGAACGGTGCATTCTTTGAGCCCTCGTCAAGCAGTGATACTGAAGATGAAGATACCGGGAATGATATGTTAAAAAATAGTATTTCTAAAGAAAAACCAATGAGTTTTGACAAAATGGAGTCTGTTAAACATAACTGGGAAATGCGCCGAGAAGAAATGAAAGAGTAACATAAACAAGAAATACAAAACATAAGGTCTAAATTATTTGCGGTAAGTCAAAGAAAATTCATTGTATTAAAATACATATCATATTATACAATATTCATTGTGTTCTATTATTGATTTTATGATAGTTTTAACTGTCTTAAGGATTGATGACCCTAAATAATAGATTGAGTTGGGCTTACAATATTACTAATTTTTTATACTTAAGAAGATGTCTCATCCGCATGTGTTGTCTCCGTTTTACACAAATACAACTTAATATTTTTGTTTGCTAGTTTCAATAGGGTGCTGTCGTTTTTAATATTGGAGTGAATTGACCTATTATCAATCTTTTAGGTAATAGCATTATCTGTGTTCTCTTGTTGTTTTTTTTTTTTTTTTTTTTTTTTTTTTTTTTTTTTTTTTTTTTTAATTCTTAAGTGAATTATCAGTATGTAAAATATTAATATTTGAGAATGCTTATAACTCACTTAAAAATTTAAAAATTGTAAAAAACCAACGAGAGAACACAGATAACGTTGTTACCTAAAAGTTTGATAATAGGTCAATTCACTCTAATATAAAAACTGATAGCACCCTATTGAAACTAGCGAACGAAAATGTCCTATGGCATACGCGAGTAAGACGGAGACAACACATGTGGGTGCGACGTCCTCTTAATAACTAGTGTTAATATTTATTAGAAATTAGAGTAGGAATTTGCAATGCCAATGCGTCTTGAGGTGAGTGAAATATTTTTCATAATATCTTTACTGTCGGACACTCAGACGTAGACTTTTTGTTTGTATATAATTTATAGTCAATAATAATATGCATTATCTTTGATAAAAAAGATTACATATTGTGTATGAATTATATCATTCAAATAATGTTCTAATTTGTTTTAACTAGGGAGAATCTCCAGAACGTGATATTTACCGCGATCCAAATGTGGTGCGCAGTGAAGACCCAGTTGATGAGACAGCGGAACTAGTCAAAAGATGTTATCCTTGTTTAGACAGATGGAAGTTGCCAGACCAGCTGTACCTGAAGGTCTTAAACCACTTAAACGCTTTACTCCTCCACTACCAGACCTTAAGGAATCAGAGACGGAATCAGAATCTGATGATGATGTGAGTGGGGAAGATGATAGCGATGAAGAATCTTCAAGTAGTGAAACCAATGGTGATGTTGTGAAATCATCCCTAAAAGTTGAAGACGAATTTTTGAAAAATGTAAGATTATCATATATTTGAATTTTTTTTTATATTTAACTACTGATTTTAAAATTTATAGTTGTGTTATATGTAATGTTTATAATAAAAACCCTCAAATTTTAGTCTCAAAGCGCAGTAATGGCCAAATCATTGAAAGACAAATTTGAACACTGGGAACCTGACAAGCATTCTATGAATAATGCTGTTACAATGCTTGATTCTGGACAGGAAAGCATTGAATCGACTAAATCTTTGCGTGCTCGTTTTGAATCTCTGAAAGGGGATCGTCCAGCTGATAAGCCGCTAAGACTTACCGCAAATAATTTAGACCTTATGTTTTGTATTTCTTGTTTATGTTCCTCTTTCATTTCTTCTCGGGATTTGGTGGTGATCAACACAAAAAGAAATGGGAAAACGGACACATGCAATAGGCTCTTCAACTCGCCGCCGTCACCGCCGACTCGACAGCTGATTAGTGTATTATTATACTAGACGAAGGGAGAAAATTGAATTATATTAATATATTATTTATTTATTTATTTATATATTAATATTAAAAAAAAGTTAACAGTTTATACCAATGTCAAAAAAATGTGATCTTAAAAAATATTTAATTTGTATTTCTATATTTATATTAAAAAATTGAATTTAAATAATTTCTACAATATTTGTGTACTTAACGCCAGAATTTATTTATTTTATTTATATTGGTAAGCATTACCGAAATAATTATTTTTATTTATTATATTAGTATTTTTTTATTTGTATAAGCATTGTGAATGACACATTAAAATAATAATAATAAAAAAAATCATTCTTTTGTAGGTGCTCAATTATATTTTTGAATAGGAAATTCGCAAAATATTATGTTCTATTTTGCTTCATCGGATATATTTTCTTTTGATAATCTTACTATAGGTTTTTACACATTTTGCATACCTACCCATGTATAATAAATAAGTCCCCGATTTTTATTTAATTGCGTATTCATTTACACTAAACTTAAGAATAATAATTTCTGATATATTTAATAATGTACCTATGTAATAATGTCTTTAGTGTGTAGATTCAAGTTTTAATTTTATTTTGTTAGCAGATAACAATTAATATAAAGGAGACGGAGTGGCCAAGGCGTCGGTTCGAATCTCGACCACGGACGGCTCCTCTTTCTGGCCAGGCAACTGTCTAGAGAGAGAGGCCGTTATTCCCCGACCGGGCATGGCAGAAACCTACGGGTGCCCAATTTGAAATTCTGCCAAAATCCATTAACACACGTGTTTACCAAACCTACAGTTCCCTCCCCACAGTTAAAAAACCACCCAATGGCCTAAGTTGCCACTGGTAAATCAATAAAAAAAAAAAAAAATAATAATAATATAAGTTACATAATATAATTGCATTTAAGTTTCATATTTTATAATTATTATAAATAAAAGTGTTATAATTTAAAATATCTCAAAATTATGTAGGCACTATTATATTATTACTAGCTGATCCCGTGCACTTCGTCGCCCGTTAAATGGATCAACTCAATACTACCTACTCAAACTTTGTTCAATTCATTAACGTGTATGGTGTTTGTTAGCGCTCGAGTCGCTTTATCGTACACTGTCGCGATCGTCCTTAGTTATCTTGTATTATTTTGTATTTTTGTGATTAGTCGAGTTAGTCGCGTATCGAAGTTTGTACCGAGCACAGCGAGCGGCTCCACAATTATCATTATTATATCATGTTTAATATAGGACTAAGACCTTTAATAAAGGAAAACGTAGAATTTAAGTGGACTGTATGCTTTTATTTATAATATAATAATGATAATTGTGGAGCCGCTCGCTGTGCTCGGTACAAACTTCGATACGCGACTAACTCGACTAATCACAAAATAATACAAGATAACTAAGGACGATCGCGACAGTGTACGATAAAGCGACTCGAGCGCTAACATACTCCCGGCATTGAAAATGTTAATTTTCAACGTACACAATAAAAATAATAATAATTTTAGTTCAAGATACTAATTATACATATATCGTAGGCATATAAAAAAATAAAAAAAAATATATAAATAATTACAATAGTAATACAAATAAATTAGTTTCAAACTCAGCGAACAAACATATTCAACAAACGCGTAAATAGTATCAAAACAAATAAATAGATTAATAAATGGCTAATAAAATAGAAAAGTGCGAACAAAAACATATGCATATACAATATAATTTATAAATAAAGACAAAGTAACAATGAAACGTTACATACTATGATCTGACATTGTTTAATTTCATATTGTGTAATAATTAGGAATTTCATAGATTATATAAAAAAAAAAAAAATTTTTTTTTAATCAATATTATTCTCGAAAGGAAGTGGGCACAACGTTCGAACTGCCCTTTTCAACTTACGACCTGCTGACGTAACCTCTGCTGACCGAATGACTCCGTCGGATCCTCGATAGATTTGTTCAACTAGTCCCAATCGCCATTGCAATGGGGGTAGATTGTCCTCCTTCACAAGGACTACTGTTCCCACGTTCAGCTTCGGACCTTTCTCCTTAGACCATTTGGACCTCTCTTGAAGTTGGCATAAGTACTCTTTACTCCAACGGCGCCATAACTGTTGTGAATATTGAGTAACTCTACGCCATCGTGTTAGTCGATTAACTGGTATAGCGGTTACGTCATCCTCTGGTACCGCGGTGAGAGAATCTCCTATAAGGAAGTGTCCAGGAGTGAGGGGGCTGAGATCAGAAGGATCAGTAGATAAGGTGGTTAAGGGACGCGAGTTTAAGCAGGCTTCAGCGCGCGTTAGTACAGTACATAATTCTTCATATGTTAGATGAGCTTCGCCTAATACCCTTCCTAACAGTATTTTCATAGATTTGACCGCCGCCTCCCACAGTCCACCGAAATGTGGGGAACGAGGAGGGATGAACTGCCACTTGACACCAATATTTGTGAAATTTCTTTGCAAATCTTCATGCGATTGTTTTGACTGGAACAGTTGATATATTTCTTTTAATTTATTATTGGCACCAACGAAATTTGTCGCATTATCGCTATATATGACAATGCTCTTACCACGACGGTCGAAAAAACGGTTTAACGCGTTCAAGAATGCTTTTGTTGTTAAATCGCTAACTGCCTCGATATGAACGGCCTTGGTCGTTAAACACACAAAAATACATGCGTATGTTTTTATAATCGGTGATTTACGTAACGAACTAGATTTTATTAAAAACGGACCGGCGAAATCTATGCCACATTTTAAAAATGCCCGTCCTGGTTGCACGCGGTCATTGGGCAAGTCGCCCATAATAGGTTGCACGAAAATAGGTTTATTGCGGAAACATTTTATGCATTTGTGAACCGTATTACGCGCTAAATTTCTACCGTTAATTGGCCAGTATTTTAACCGAATAGTTGATAATAAAGCCTGTGGTCCACCGTGCATTAGAAGCATGTGCTGTTCATTAAATAACATTTTCGCAAATAAACAGTTCGCGGGTAATGCGATGGGGTGACGTTGAAAAATGTCGATTGTTGCGGCGTTTTTCAATCTGCCGCCAACGCGAATGACGCCACTACTATCGATAAATGGTCGAAGACGAAAAAGTTTACTGTGGGTCGAGACAGCCTTACCATTCGATAGTTCCCGCAGTTCGTCAACAAAACCGATATTTTGCGTATATTTTATTAATTTCAAAGTTGCTTTTTCCAACTCTTCTGGTTGTAGCAAACCTGTTAATTTAATATTATTATTCTTTCGCGTACGCACGTTATTTATAAACCGTATGCAGTACGCGGTTATCCTTAAACACTTAGTCAATGATTCATATTTGTTTAATATAAAATCATCGTGATCAATGACACACATAACGTTGATAATATTTTCTTTACTTTCCGGAATATTGTCCAATTTACGGTGAGTGTCTGAACTTTCTGTCCAATTTAATTTATCTTCAGTCAACCACTTGGGACCCGACCACCATAAATCTAAATTGATTAATTTAGACGGACAGCAACCTCTAGATATCACGTCAGCCGGGTTGTCGCATGTACTAATGTGTTTCCATTCGCCCATTGTTGTTTTGCTTTGTATTTCAGCTACTCGATGTGCAACAAACGTTCTCCATTTCGTCGAAGGTGAAGCGATCCATGCCAATACTATCATCGAATCGGTCCAAAAATACTGTTGACTAATTTTTAGTTGTAATTTCGGTATTAATTTATACGCTAGACGTGTTAATAACAGTGCCGCACAAAGTTCTAACCGAGGTAATGATAATGTTTTTAAAGGCGCCACTTTGGATTTTGCACATATTAAATTAATATGATGAATGCCCGCGTTGTCCGTACACCTTAAATATAAACAACATCCATACGCCAATGTACTAGCGTCCGAAAACCCATGGACCTCAATAATACACGATTTTAAGTTATTCGTGATTTTGCGTGTTATTGATAACCTGTTTAACGCGGATAATTGTGTTCGATACTCAAACCATTGTTCGCGTATGTGTACTGGAACGGGTTCGTCCCAATCAATCTTTTCACGCCATAACGCTTGTAATATTAATTTTGCTCGCACTATTAATGGGCCGACTAAGCCCAGCGGGTCGAAGATCGCAGCTATATCGGATAGCATTTCGCGTTTGGTAACCGACGTCCCATCTACCTTTTTATTCTCACGCACGTTATATTTTAATATATCTGACGAGGCGTCCCAGAATAAACCTAATACCTTTTTCACAGAATAATTATTAAGTTCGTGTTTATTTGATATTTCTATATCTTCGCTAGGTAGACTTGATGTTATTAAACTCGCGTCGTTTGATGACCATTTTCGTAACTTTAGACCGGCACTGTTCATAACCACAATCAAGCCGTCGCGTATTTTAATTACTTCCTGTTTCGTGTCGGCTCCGGTCAATATGTCGTCCATGTAAAAATCTCGATTGATAATAGGCGTGATGTATGGGTATTGTTCGTGTACCGTTTCGGCTAGTACTTGTAAACAACCTGTCGCTAAATATGATGCGGGTACCGTGCCATATGTGACCGTGTTCAGTCGATATATTTGTATAGGTTGATTAGGGTCGGTGCGCCATAATATTCTTTGATAATCGCGATGTTTATCAGTCATTAATATTTGCCGGTACATTTTAACTATGTCGGCCGTTAAAACGTAATTATGAGTTCGAAATCGCGAAATAATGTATAATAAATCGTCTTGGATCACCGGGCCCTTTAATAACACGTCATTAAGACTAATACCGTTATCTGTTTTGCAAGATGCGTCGAACAGTGTTCAAAATTTATCTTATCTTTCCCGTTGCCCTGAATAAAAATTCTGAATCGCAGCAGTACATTATCAGGTAGGCAATCTACCTGCGGTAGATCGCGGACCCCGTGCTGTTTGTACGGAAGTGTATGATTTAACTCTAAAGTATCAAAGTTATACCAAGTTTATTTTGATGTAATACTGTGGATTAA